ATAGTATTTCCACTCGGGAAAAATCGGTTCTAGCACAAACGACGCGGGAAAATACGATGTTAGGGGAACATTCTATTGTACAAGATAGGGGGAGTTTTTTAAAGAAGCTGTATTAACAACGGATGAAATAATGAGTATCAAAAAATAAGGTAAAATCATTTAAGCAATCACGGGAGTCAAAAACCCCTTCTTATTCACTGATCTCTGTAAGAGGCGGAAACATTCGGAATTATTTCGAGGGTTGCTTTGAGCAAGCTGATGATAGGTTTAACTCCATGGCATATACCAGTACCAATTTACCATCGAAACGAATGAACGAATCGTAGAGGGATCGGTTTTCTCATTGAGCAGACTCGAACTTTAGACTTTTTGCGCTGTAGGAATTCTGTGTTGCACCGTTTGAGCAGTAGATCTTAGAATTTGCTAAATTTTTTGAATTGTATTCTTTGCTACTCGTATTTCGTAAGGAGCCGTCCCACTATAGTTTAGGTGAAGCACGGTCACGAATGAAATGATAGACTAGAAGGATTGTATTCAGGCGTCATGTTTGAGGTGATATTTTACGGTACAAACTGTTTTTCATCGTTTAGAAATAGTAAGGTGATATTTAATGATGCAATCTGTGTTTCATCCCTTAGCTGTAAACACAAACCGGACTATGCATGCGGGTAGGAGTGGGGATCGTCAGTACAGCCTCCTACCTACCATGTATTGAAAGGACATGTAACTATTTTGCTAGACAGAGATGTGAAAGAAAGGCAGAGTGAGAGAGAAGTGCTGTTGCTGAGAACACACACACACACGAACATACACACATACACACATAGACGCACATACACACGCATACACACACAAATACACACACATACGTACAAACACACACATACCTGAAGCCGTTTTTCAAAATGACTAACGCTTTGAAGAGTGACTCTATCGGGGGGAGCCGTAGTTGAATGATGATCCCTTCAGAAGAAGAAACAAATTCAGGATTGCCGGAAGGCTAGCCATCAAGCGACGCAGCGCTGATCGAGGTATCTGGAAAGATTTTTTTTCATCTTCAGGCGTGAAAAAATAAACTATGAATTAACAGTTTTTTCAAATATTCACAACCGTTGCGTTTTGGTTTAGATTTAAGACTTAAAAGTTCGAAAAACCCGGATTTTTTGGTAAAATAAGTATAATCGTAATTATAATGTTGGCGTGAAGGAATTTAAGAAAAAAAAAAGTTTCTTCCAAAACCAGTTTTTTTAAAAATCAGTTTTTTTAAAAACCAGTCTTTTTTTTTAAAAATCAGTTTTCTTGAATAATCTCATCATCTTTTCAGCCTCATAACAGTTTATATTTGCGTCGATTAGCTGAAATACGTTATACCCAAGGAGGCCAAGAAAATACAGAGCTGGCTAAATCGTATTTTGAACAAGCAGTA